GTTCAGCGGCAGCTTGGAGTGTGACGTCGAGTCCATCATCCTCAACGACTTCATGGACAGCGACGAAATGGACTTCAACTTCGACTCGGCCCTGCCTCCACCGCCGCCCGGCCTGGCCGGGGCCCCGCCCCCCAACCAGAGCTGGGTGCCGGGCTGAAGGCCGCTCCGGAGCCCCGGGTGTCCGCCCCGCCCCCAAAGGGGCTTCTGTCTTCCCATCCTGATCCCCGGGTCCCCACCCCTGATTCCAGATCCATGGGAGGATCCAGGAGGCAGCCCCAGCCCTGCTGGAGACATCTCCCAGAAGTTGGCCGCTGAGGGAAGTGGTAGGGAGGGGCTGGGGCACCCTGCCATTCCTGCCCAGACTCCTGAGAGCCTCTCCCCCTACTCCCGGGGCAGGAAGCCTGGGGGCAGAGGCTGACCCCGGGCTGGGTGGGAGTGGGGAGGAGCGAGTTGGGCTGCGCTGCTCAGAGAAGCCTACCGGAGATGGGGCGGGGCGTCTCTGAATCTTAGTTTCCTTTGCCGGGGGTGGGGGGCCCTCACGTTGGTGAATCGCCCATTCCAAACTCCGATCTGATTCCCAATTGACACTTTCTACTGGTCTTAGCTCCACCCACAAAAATCCAGCAGCCCTCTCCCAGAAACACACTGACACCTACTTATTGGCTGTATACCCGGAATTGTCCTCCTTCAGTCCTAACCCTCCTTTCGACCTTCCTTCCCCATGGTTCAGCCCTTCCCTCCCAATCTTGCCAACCCTTGCTTCTCCCCTTCTCTGTTGGAGTCGATCGCCTTTTCCAATCCTCACCACCACCCCCAGTACTGGTCTCAGCCTGTCTAGCGGGCCTCAGCTCCGGATCCACACCCTAACCCGACACCCCTTTATCCGTGCCAGTCCTGGCTCTTCTCTCCCATATTTATAAGTGTCTGGTCGGGGCGGGCTGTGGGCGCGGCGTCCCTGGCGCATATCGTAGGCTGTGTACCGTGGCCGTGCCGTCAGCGTGTGCGTGTGCGTGTGTGCCGTGTCGAGGCCGTGTAGAGTGCATTGTACAGCATATTTTCATGAATAAAATTGTTTTAAATATTTCCCGCGCCTTGGGCTAGCAGGGGGAGTGGCTGCGGAGGAGGATAACTGGCAGGGATGTGGGGGCGGGGTTCCAGTGCCTGAGCACCTACTGTGGCTTTGTGTCTGAGTATGTGCCAGCGTTCCCTGATGCCTGTCTGCGCAACACGCAGTGGTTAAGCGCCTACTGAGTTCTGGATGCTGGGAATGTGCCTGTGTGGAGCTCTGCACCTGTTTTTGTGAACATGTGCATGCAGGAAGTTTCTGCCCTGGGGAAATTCTGTTCCGAATAAGCCTCAGAGTTGGGAGAGAAGGCACAGATACTTACTGAGAACCTGTTAGTGTCAGCTTCTGTATTAGGTATGATTTTTGTTCCCATTGCACAGATGAGAAAACAGGGTCAGAGATGGAAAATGGCTTGGGAAAGCAGGGTGGGGTGGTAGAAAGGAGGCCTCTGAAAGCACACAAACTTCTATTCGAATCCATCCATTCCCTGCTGTTTTACCAGCTGCATGATATTGGGCATGTTTTCAACCTCTATAGCCTTGCTTTCCTGGTCTGGATCACAGGATAGTAGCACCCATCGCATGGATTTCTAGTGAATAAATGAGAGAAGGTATGTAAAGTGCTCAGCACAGGTCCTGTACCCACTGATGCATTCACTTATCCATGGAAGATTGATAGAGCACCTATCATGTGCTAGGTATTGTACCAAGCACTGGGGCTGTCATAGAGAGCAACATAGGCACAACTCTGCCCTCAAGGAACTTAGAGGCTCTAGAGGGACACAGATGAGTAAATAGGTGATTGATTATAGATCAGAGCTAAATGGAGGAGCCAGGGGGCTGTTATGGGAATGAAAGACATAGCTGCATCTATCCCGTGCTTGGGGCATCAGGGAAGGTTCCTGGAGGGACTGTTGTCTCAGCTGAGCCTTGAAAGATGAGTAGGCATTGGAAAGTGAAGGATGTCAGAGGGAATGGCTTGATCAGAGATCTGGAGTTGAGATCATATGGGTGCCAGAACCAAAAGATCATTTGGGTTTTAGTGTGGCAAAAACTCTGAGAGGGAAAAGTTACTGATGATGGGGAGGCAAATGGGCCAGAGGGGACAACAATAAGAGAGGGTCAATAGCAAGCCCAGGAGAGAGAGAGGAAGGTATTTGGGCTGGAGAGGAAAGGATGAGTTCACATACATTTTGGACGTAAAGTCATTGGGAACTTCCAGACAGGAGGAGCCTTGGGGAAGATGGTGCACTCAGCCTCAACCAGGCTCAATTTGAGTTATGTCCTATGAGAACCCCTAGGATTTGGGAGGGATATTCAGGAGCATATATACTCTGTGTAAATGGCATTCCCTGGCATTGGGTAACATGGTGGCCAGCTGGATAATGGGGTCAGAAGCCCAGGAAGTTGTCTGGGATGGAGAGGGCAGTCAAAGAATCAAGAACACAGAAACTGTCATGGAAGTGTTGGGAGTGGCTTAGGGGGTGGTGCAGAGTGGGAAGAGCAGGCAACTCCAGTCTGCTCCAATGAACACCTTAAAAAACTTCGGCACAGGGAGGAGAACCACTGGCTGAGAAGGAGCAGCCCCAGGGAAAGGAGGAAGAAAACCAAGACACTGGGCTCCTAGAGTTTGCAAAAAGAGTGTGGCCCTAGAAAGAAATGCCCAGTGTGCTTACCTCTCTGAGCCTCACTTTCTTCATCTGGAAGATGGGGCAGTAGCATCTGTCTCAGATTTTTTTGAGGAACAAATAAGATTGGAATTATTCTCTGAAGTTACACTACTGGCAAAGGGAAGAAATGGGGTTCCTGCCCAGACTGTATACTTCCAACCCCCTGGCTCTTCTATGGACTCTACTGCCTCTGGGGAGGTGGCCGTGAGCAGAGGAGCAAAGGAGCTTGGAGCCAGCAGGACCTGTACAGCTTGGGCTCAGCTGGGGCTTGAAACCTCACTGTGGAGTATGGTAGATGTCCTCACTGGGTAAGGAGCTGGTGGATCCTCCCCTGGGACAGATGTCCCAGCCCCACATAGAGGCTGATGGACCCTCCCCTGGGACAGATGTCCCAGCCCCACCCCACAACCAGACTCTGGGATAGCCCAGCTGGGTCTGGGCTCCATATGGGCTGCAAAGCTGCCCCCATCCTGGCTGCCAGAGGGTGGGCTACTAGTGTGTGTGTGCAGGTCTGTGTGTTTCCATGTAGCCCTACATGCATCTGTCTGTGTGGGCCTATGTGTATGTGCTGGGAGTGGGGCAGGATGGGTGATGGTTGGGATCTCCCTGTCTGAGTGTGCATGTGCCTCTGTATGTATGTGTGTGTGTGTGTGTGTGTGTGTGTGTGTGTGTGTGTGTGTGTGTGTGTGTGTTGGGGATGACAGTGTCTCCATCTCTGAGTGTGTTCACATGTACATCCAGAACTGCAGAGTCCATGCCTGGATCAGTTGTGTGCACTGCATGCCTTCTTCTCTGGGTGTGTCTGCCTATCTTGGCACAGATCTCTCTCTGGGGTGCACCCGAGCTGGTGTTTCCCTGCCAGGAGCATCTTCTGTGCTGCCTTGCTGTGGGAGGGAAGGGGAGTAGAGGGACACTCCCCACCCTGGGATGGGCCAGGCTCTTAAGCAGGGAGCAGCGAGACCACCTCAGAGTAATGACCGAGCATGCCTGGCTCAGGGCAGTGGTAATTCCAGAGACAGCTTCTGTACTGCTGGGCCCCATCAGGAGAAAGAAGGCAACACCCTTGCAGCTGGGGGTGTGCGACTGGCCCATTCCCGCCAGCCGGGAGCCTGGCTGACTCGCCCCCCTCCATGCCTACTCCCTGGGAGGCATCTGACACATGATTTATTCATAAAAAGCCATTATTTGTGCCAAAGAAGAACTGAGCTGCTCGCTTTTTAAGTGCTGATAATGCTCTCAGCCTCCTTGCCTCTCCTCCTCTCTCTTCCCCTCCCATCTCTCTCCTCTTATCTTCTTTCTCACCTCCTTGGGACTTCTCATTCTATCTCCTTCCCTTTCTTCCCCCTACCCTCCTGGTCTCTCTTTCCATTCCTTTATTGTTCTCCTCATACCTCCCCTCTTCCCATTCCTTCATTCTCCTTTCCTCTGACCTCCTCACTTTTGCTCTGCAATGAGAGGTGTGAAGCAGGGTCCCTGCAGGCTCAGTCGTCCCAGGTTGGGGGAGGCCTACACCGTCCTGGAGCCCAGTGGACCCCACCTTCCGCCTCAGCCTGCCCATCTTCAGGACCAGGGGAAGGTTAGGAAGAGCGGGAGCAGGCTGAGAAAGGCTTGGGTGGAGTCTTTGGAGACTGTCACAAGCAACTCCCCCATGTTAAAGAGTGAGACTTTAGCACCCCATTATTAGGGCCAGCCTCCCAAATAAACATTCCATTTAAATAAAGACAGTATACTTGCTATGCAAATGCAGATTCAAGGCAAAGTCTCTAGGCTCCTTCTTCCTCTCAAATGTGCCCCCTAAGTGTTCTCATATAGAAATTCTGGAGCCACCATTATGCCAGGAGAGGCTGGCTTCAAGGGAAGCACTTGAGGCCCCATTGCAGAGCAAGCTCTGTTTCCAGACAGGAGGCAGCAGAATGAGTATCACAGATATGAGTGTGGACAAGGACGCACACAAGGTTCTTAGAAGCAGACATCAGAGATCCACATGTGAGTGTGCCCTCATGCTCTCACTTGCACACACATGCACACAGGCTTGCACACAACCACATACCTACTCACACAGATGGAGTGTCCTTCCTCCCCTGAGTACCTGCAGTGGGGGCTGAAACTTTTACCATTCAGACACCTGATCGTTCGTTCATTCATTCATTCACTCCATTAACTTTGCTTTTGCACTCACTCTGTGCCAGCCCTGGTGCTGGGTCCTGGGGTGGCAGAAATGAACGTGATTGGACCATAGGGAGTGGGGACTGGAGCAGAGGGGTTACTGCAGGCCGTCCTCTCGGCCTTGGACTGGAGGATAGGCGCCCAGCAGGCAAGGGGTTAAGTCATTTGGCATCCAGAGCTGGAGCCATTAGGCCTCCTAATTATGAAATTATCGAGGTCCTCAGGTGACTGCTAATTTCACACACACTGTTCCTCTCACGGCTAATGAACGCCTGCAGAACCCACGCCTTGTCTTT